TTTTTTTTTTTTTTTTTTTTTTTTTTTTTTTGGCTTCAACTTTGTCATCTAAAATCTGTTCACTGAAGCCTATGTTCTGCTAACAAATTGACAACTGCAGTGGTAACAAATGGCAGTACATTGTTGAGGATTGGATGGTAAAGGAAAATGGTAAACTTACTGAAGTAAAAGTACAGGTGAAAACTTTAAGCACGTTGTCTGGCAGTCAAAAAAATTCAATTATTTCAATTCTTGAATTGTAAATTGTTTTCTTCGGTTTTTTCAAACACAGATTAAATGCCAAAGAAAACAAGCAAGAGAATTAAAGAACATTTACCCGTCTTTAATGCTGATAACCTTATGACAAACTTGAGGTAAACAGTTTTTTATAAATGGAAAGTGCAGACCAGTGAGAATTTTCAAGGCCAGCTTTTGGTATGCTAAAAGGTGCACTGATATTGACCTTTACAGGGGATTTACTGTACCAAAAATGCGTGGAAATTTTGTATTAACTCATTGTTCTTGTTGCTGATCTATTCTGTTCTGCCTTTTGACAGTGATGATAACGGTGATAACAAGAGATAAATCTAAAGTTCTTAAAACGATTTTGATTAGCAAACGATATAATTTGATGCATAAAACCTTGAAATTTTTTACTTTTAGATTTTTTTTATTTGTAATTATCAAGAAGCAAAATATTTTTTCAACCAGTTTTTATAGAGGTTTTTTTGCCAAAAAAAATTCAAATTTTTTGGTGTACTTCTTTTTATAATACAGTTGAAAAATGCCTATTTGTATAAAGTGAAAAGATTGCTTTTGTTCTTTTATGAAAAGCTGAATTAGTGGCAAGGAAAGTTGAATTTAAAAGGTCTCATTCGTGGATCAAAAGGATATGTTTAGTACCAAGTGTAACTAAGTTGTTTCTTTTTCCTAATCTGGTTTTTTCCAAATTTTGCTTCATTTTTTTCAAACTTAATTTGTGAGGTGAAAACGTTGCTGATGACCAGCAGTGACCATCTTATATCGTTGCATTGTTACGGCTGCTTATACTTTAATTGTAGTGTGTAATAGCGATATATTTGAATGAACTAATTAGGATTTGATCATAGTATTCCAGCAGCAATAGCTGACGATTGACGGTCTAAACTTATTTGTCATGCACGAATATGTAAAATTCAAATAGAACAAAAACGAGTCTTTTATTTGTCTGTAACTCAATCGTTCACAGCGCTATACCACATACTACATCGATCTTGATCGCAATTTTGTATAATTTCTAACCAAAACATCGTGCAACTTTACTACATCAACTTTCTTTTGGTTATCGATCTCTTTTTTACACTTGATGTGCATAATGGTCAACAGTTGGGCAAAATCAGACAAAAGTTAGTGCAGCATAGGTTCAACAATAAAATTGAATTGGTTGGTAGCGTCCAAAACTGTTTATAAGAATCTTATTGACAAAACTGCTGAAGCTTAGTTTTGTACATATGATGATACTCTTTCTCGATAATTGTATTCTTTCTTTTTCTTTTTACTTTTGTTTCATTTTTCACTTATTTTTTTGTAGGAAGAAATGAACATAATACTGAAAAAAATTGTTTCCTTCCAAATTGTTTATTTTGTTTTTAAAATAATAAGTAACATTTTATATAAGATGGGGAAAGAATTAAGTTTAAAATGAAAATAATTGCTTTTTTCTACATACCAAATAGTGCAAGCTTTAAGCTTAAAGATCAAAAGTTACAAGGCTCGTAAGAAGGTTTTTTTTTTGTTAATTTTAAAACATGATAATTCAAGTGTCGTTTTTTTTTTAATATATCATTTGGCAATTGGTTATGGGATCCAGGAAAAGCTTTATCGTACATTGAAATAATGTCAATTTAAAAAAATTCTATCAATCAAAAGTGATTTCTCAAAGCAAAATATTTTTGTTTTGTC